GGAAGTATAGAGTAATTATAAATTACTATATTTGGTAGATTGTAAACTTCTTATATAATATAATTTATGTAAATATCGTAAATAAAGTGCGATAAGTCGTATATACTGAAGTATAAAAGTGACATACCGACCCTCAAAAATAAAGTACATTAAAAGACACCTTTTTAACGTTTATAAAAAGGTATTTTTTCTGGAATTCAATTCCTTTATAAAAGAAATACCATGTTTCATTTAATTATTTGTCCTCTTTAAAGAGGAGTGGGTATTGCATTACAACAGCTATATTTAGTTACACAGAACGGTATTTTTATTAACTAGTAAGCGTTTACTTTCATTTTCAACCTTATAAAAGGGTCATTTGTCAATAATTTTAAATGAATTACTTGTTTGTTTGTTAAAAAATTAACAAATTATCAACTTTTTCGTTTTCTAAAGTTTATTGTCTATAACATCCATTAAAAAATCTCTTATACACATACATTATAGTTACATTCTATCTGAGTATAATTTGTTCTTTTCAATTGTGAAAGATGTAACTACAGGATTGAGGATATATTATAAGAAACTGACTGCCTCATTGGCCGTGTGGTCGCGAGTGCGACTGCCGGGCAAGAAGTCTCGGGTTCGATGCCCGGGTCGGGCAAAGTAGTACTGGTTTTTTTTTAATTCCAGTAGTACGAAGTCTGTAGCTATATTGCCATCAATAGGTTCACCCCCTATTACATGGGACTCATAACATAAATAGTGAAAACTGCATATTACATTCTACAGTTGCCACTGTGTGTTAAGAAGAAAGGCGTGATGTTGAATGAAGAAACTGAAAGCAGGCAAAGTCTATCCTGAGTAACTATACTCACATAACATAAGAAACTATCCATACCCACAATTTAACACAAAAAAGCCCACTGTAGCATGAAAAAACCCGTAATTACAGCTGTACAACAATAGGTCATGAAATTGTTTAGTAGTAAATGTAATCATTAGTTCTGCAATAAAAATATTTACGAACTGTCTCCTTTGTTTTTATGTTACAGTCGTAATTTTTACGACAATTACATAAACGTACCTTTGGCGACAATGATGTCAGGTTGAATATTTCAATTTCGCAATGAAACACGTAAATGTTTTCTTTTTTCTTAGAAAACTCTATATTCTCATGGTTTGTGCATGCAACCTTCTAGAACAATTTGTAGGTGAAAACACGACTTGTTATATTGTAACAATGGCTATGAAGCAAGTACTTTTTAAATTTAGTATGTTCGGTCAAATGTGTTGATACCTAAACTTGCTGATTCGCTGTGGCTCAAAGCATACATACATATGTGGAGAATAATACTTGTATACATTTTGAAATTTTCTCAGCAGTCTTCCCTTGCAATTAAAGAACGTGACCTTTATCACAGAATGTTCTAGTAAGAGATATGAAATGTTCTCTTGTATGTAATACAATTTCACGTCAACGAACACAATGCTGTGAAAGAAACTAATTTAAGTTTATACGAGCCTCTTCAAAACCTTAATGTCAAGACTCACCTTAATATATCAAGCAGACAAAATGTTGTTGGATTTATTATTTTAAATGCTTTATGAATTAAACTAACCATTATGGCGGTATCAATAACATTGTTCTGAAGTGATGCATCTATTGGAGTGCTATGCATTTTATAAATCTGTATAATATAAATCTCAGGTCGATAAAAAGAATTGAAAATATAAAATTGTCGTATTTTATGTAGTTCACATGTTTGATAACAACCCAATTGTATTTTTCTTGTGGTTTTCGACTGAGGACCGCTGATAATGTCGAACCTCGGAATATTATTAAAATTTATAGGTAAGTAGGTTTGTGTGTTAATATTAATTCAAATCTCTTTCAATTCTCAATCTTAATTGATTTTAATGTTATAATGATTTTGTTTCGCAGTTACAATATCGATCATTGGACCACTAAGTACAGTAGTAAGCGCAAATAATAAACCCGTGGACTTGAATACAGTTTTCAACTTTATACAACAGCTTAAACAGTCTTCTGATTCCACTACAGATACTGATGACGATTCAGATGAATATTTTACTGAAATAGACAAAGCTGTTAATAACCGAGATGAAATGTTAGAAAAAGAAAGAATAATTGATTTAATAGAAAAAGTTGCTAAAGAAAACAATTATGTGGTTCAAGATAATGACGGTAATACATATCGCGAAGAAAAGTTAGATAGAAATCAGTTAACTCAAAATGATAAACTTGGTGAAGCGTTTAATAATAATATACAAATGCAGTTATTAGCGAAATTCCTATCTCAGGGTGTGAATAAAGAAGTTAAAACGAAACCAAGAATCAAACCTAGTCGCTTGCTACCGGCCATCTCAGTCAATGAAGTTAATACTAGAAATGATAATGACGTCACCGGATTAGAAGATTATTCGAAAATATATGTAGTTTTGAATCCACAAGCAGTTGAAAGGAGTAAGAATAAGAATGCATTTAATGAACTGTAAGTTGATATGTTTATACCAGAGATATGACAATGTTGCACCGCTGTAGTTGATACTCAATAACATGGTGCTTTAAAAGTACGTAATGTACTTTAATGGGGACGTATTTTTATACGATTATTAGTAGCAACACTTGCAACAAGGTTTACAGTTCCCCAGATGGTAAGGGTAGGTATTCTTGCCTACGTAAAATATAACATCAGAGATATAACAAACAAGGTTTCTATTGTGAGTTCATATCATCTCCGTATACCTTATTAACACAACTTTGAATATTTAAAATTATATTTAGATTTATCCCAAAAAAGATTAACGTGATTTTTAAATTCAGGGTTTCAAAAATACTCTCTTTGTCTTCTTTAACGCCAACAAAAGATAATCAAGGGAAACGAAAGCCTCGTCGCTATAAAGGTTTTCTTGTCAAAGAGGAAATGCCCCAAAGAAGATTCAGACAAGCCATGGCCAGTAAGTATGACATTAGCTACGATGGAATAAAAATATCTGAATAGGATTATCTAATTCTTTAGAAATTCTTAATTTAAACAGTATATTTTTGATGACGTACTTGTCGAACATGAAGCTGTAGCCAAATGCCATTAAAGCTTGTCTACCTGTAGAATAGAAAACCAAATTATATGGAATTGACGTAAATTTTGACACTTGTCAGTGTCATCCCCATATATTTTAGTTTTCTGCTTTCTCTGTAGCCAGGCGCTAAAGTGGCGTTTGTCTAAAGGCATTGGGACCTAATAGACGTTCCGTAATGAATGCAAATGTAAACGATTGTTGTAGTTATTAAATTTTCGATATCTAGATTCGATATCTAGATGGGGGTAAAGTATTTTAATATTTGTAAAATGCTTGCTACCGTTGTAATTTGTAAGTAGTTATGTGAAACTTATAAATGGTGAAAAGGGGGTGTTACCTGTGTTAATATGTGAATCTCATACTATAGGTTGGAAAAAGTATGATGATATGTGTGATTGATGTCAACTGATTAAACATGTTGCTTCTTTTCTCAGACCGTGCTCGAAGATATTATCAAAACAGGGAGTTGAGACGAAATACTGGTTACTAGTATTCCTCGCACCCGTAAGTCTAAAATAAAGACATTTATGAGAAGGATGGTGAATAACTTCTACTTGCAACGCAAATAATTGTTATATTGAAATAAAATCTGCGTAATTTTATCATGATTTTAATTTATGGGTAAGAATTCTGATCCTAGGGAAATCATAATGATAGATTGAGAATAATTCGCAAAAAGCAATCTTGATATAATGAAGAGTCATACGAATATGCAAAATAGATTGCATCAACAACAACATCAAATCACGCCTTTTATCACCAAGTGGGTAGGCAGAAGTGCACATTACGGCACTTAAATACCCACTTTTCACTATTTACTTATGTACTATTTATCTCATGTAATAGGGGATGAGCATATTGCAATATACCGGGCACAGTTCCAGACTCCGTGCTTAACTTTGCTCGGCAAACTAAATTGCATCATTATTGTACATCAAGGTACCTATTACTTTCGTGTACAAATATAATACTTTCGTGTAAAATATGGCTATAGAATATTAAGGTTCATCATCATCATCAACAGCCTACAAATGCCCACAGCTGAGCAAACCCTATTCTCACACGGTGAAGGTTCAAGCAATAATCACCCCGCTTGCTCATTGTGGGTCGGCGATTTCAAACTTATAATTAGAAATTATAAACCCAGGTTTTCTCACGAAGTTTTCCTTCACCGGAAAAAGTCACATTGTTACTTGTATTTTATTTCCAGTATCACTACTTACATTGATTCATACATTAGCTAAGTAAAGTCAAAGCTTGAATACAAGCAATTGCATTGTTGCAATAGCAACATATGTATAAATCAGGGGTGGCCAACTTGATTAGACCTAAGATCTACTGCAGGGCTGTCCAAACAAAGGCCCGGGGGCCGCATGCGGCCCGCGTTATGGTTTCATGTGGCCCGCGACACATTAATCTCAACATCTTCATCTTATATGTAACAACAATAATAAAATTCAGTGTATGATTTGTCTACAAGTATTGTCCGTGAGTAAAAAATATAATGTTAAACGTCATTATACAACTGAAAATATTTTTCTGGCCCCCCCAGTTTTTGTAAGAAATTTAATTAGCCCGCGAGGGTATGTAGTTTGGACAGCCCTGATCTACTGTATACTAACGAAATCCTGTGCGATCTACCAAGTACATACTTTTTGAAATGAAACTGCATAGTTTAGTACACAATAATGTATTTTTTATTGACCAGTCTTAGTGGTTCTTTTCATATCACATGTGCGATCGTTTCCTTAAATTTACCTACTTAACATTATATGGGTCCTATATATTAGTGTGAGCACTGCGCCTGAACATTTTCCACTAGTTTAGCATAATCTAGTTTGTAGATAGTAGTTGATAATTACGTTGCGCAGTTTGGTCTATTTATTTATGTATTTGTTTGGCCAAGATCGACTAGACTAACAGTCGCGATCGACCGGTCGATCGCGATCGACCGGTTGGCCACCCCTGGTATAAATTAACTAAAAATCGCGGGTTACTTACGTGAATATACGGAAAAAAGCCTACATAGCCTACATCGCCGCAGCATTAGACTGCGCGACATCGCCGCGACCGCGCACGCTGCTCATAAGGAAGAACCCCTATGTGGTTCGAAACTAGTGGAGCTTTTCTCAGTATATTCACGTGAGTAACCCACGATTTTTAGTTAATTAAGTATGTCTCACGATAGTTATTATAAAAACATAGCAATATATAATTAGTTTTACCTTGTTATAATGAATTTGAAAATAAATACACTTACTTAATCGTACTCATAAACTAATTAAGGTAGCCCTTAGTGAACTTGTCAGAACTGTCTTAATATTTAATACTCGAACAAAACTCAATTTTAAGTTGCGCTTAAGTATTATTTTGTTGCTGTCATTTCGGGGGCGGAAAGACATAAACATAACATGCTTTATATTAGAGGCTTGTTTCACAATGTCTTATTGAGTTTGTCTTAGTTTAACTGACGGATAATTTAACTTGTTTTTTGTTATATTAAACTTAATCTCATTGTGTAGCTATTGCATTAGATGAGACAAAGCAACGACTTAATAGAGGATGAATAAAAAAAACTATAAATATTAGAAGAATATGTAATATTTGACTGCCTTGTTGGCTGAGTGGTAGCAAGTGCGACTGCCGGGCAAGGGTTCTCAGGTTCCATTCACGGGTTGAGTACGACTGGGTTTTTAAAAATTCTCGCACGGAATCAGGAATTGTGCCCGTTATATGGTAATAGACATAAATAGTGAAAAGTGGGTATGTTACATCATAGACTGGCATTAAGTGCCGTAGTGTGCACCTCTGCCTACTCCTTTGGGAATAAAAGGCTGTTGTGATGTTATGTGTGTATGTACTATGTATTACTTGTGTATTTTATAGGATTAAATACCTGTTTATAGATAAATGGATGGACAATCTCTGAGTTCAAGGATTAATCCTAGTTATTTCAAACTAGCTGAGCCTGCGACTTCATCCGCGTGGAATAGTGATTCACAGCTCCTCCCCCGTAGTTGATAGCATGATAATATGTATGTTGACGTTGGGTCCACATACATATTGTCCTGACTTTAATAATATTTATGCAACATTTGAAGTAAATCCATGCAGCACTTTTTGAGTTCATTCCGGACATACATACAGACAAACAGACAAAAACTCTAAAAACCATAATTTTGGTTTCGGTATCGACTGTAGATTACGCCAAAAGCATTTTTTAAAAGAATAGTCGATGTACAATTTTCAGTTTCCTACGATTTTATTAAGTGTAAAAGATAATAGATGAAACTATACCAGCAGAAAAATAAATGTTACATAACTAAATACATCGGCGTTCTGCCTCTACGCTAAGGTTACGTAGTTGGCAAGTAATCCTATATAATGACTTTGTTTAACACGAGCCCGTTTATTTTGTAACTAGATTTTCGACTGCGAAACTTTTCTGTGGCTTTTTGGTTGTATTGTTGAAGCCATTGTGGCTCGCGGAGTGAAATATGGCCGATATCCATTTGTTTTGCACCTGCTTAGTTTT